CCGGGGGTGTATGGAATGGGGAAGGGGATCAGGAATAGGGCTGGGGCTTGGAGACAGAACTGGAATCAGGAAAATGAAAGTGGGAGTCAAGGGTGGGGGTTGGGATTGAGAATGGAAGGGAGGGTGAGACTCAGGGATGGGTAAGGTTATCTGTACTCATTACTTGATAATAAAATCTAAATGATGTGGTTTTTAAGGTCATTAGATATGCATGGATACAAAAAACCTCAGTTGTAAAAAAAAGTCATTATAAAATATTACGCATTCCCAGCAGTAAAACCAGTCTAACACTTTGACTCCCCGAGGTCCTTCTGACCTTCTCCTGCTGTCCTCTGAGGCTTGGAAAACTCATCTCTTCTCTCTTTGCAGATGGACTGTAACAAAGCAGAGAAGTTTGATTTTGTAAGTTCCCTTGCTCCTCAGCCCTGGCTGCTTTTCTCCATGGCACATCGTCCTCTCCAGCTGCCCCAGTGCCTGGCTCTAACCCCAGTTTGACAGTGCACCAGCCCACACTAGAAGCCTTATTTCCAGGGGTATGGGAATCTCCTGGCCTCAGACAGGAAAGCTTCATGCAGTCTCTGCTGGGATCAGGACTGAGGAGTTCAGAAAGGCTGTCAGCCTAGGATGTGTTTAGGAGGAGTCCTCACTCATGCGGTGCCTCCTGTGACCCTTGTTCTCTTCTAGGTGTTGCAATATCTGAACAGAATGGCTGGGAGTGAATACGTGGGTTTCAGCAATGCCACGTAAGGCACTGTTTGCAGGAGTGGCTGACTGTGTTGGGGGGCGGTGTGGAGGAGGGGGATGAGAGAGAGAATCTTAGGAGGAAGAAATCCCAGGCCCAGCTTCCTCTGAGCGCCTTCATTGACAATTGTTTACTTTGTAAAAGAATTTGTTCCATTTCTGTTTAGTACTTACTGAGAGAGGCATGTGAGGGTTTGCACCTAGGACCTTTCTTGCCAAGCCTCTCAAAGCCAAAAACCTCACCAGTTTTCCAGACTAGATGGTTAGACACTTTTGGGTTTTGTTTTTCACACTTTACAATAAAGCCATGCCCGGTGCTGGCTCAGGGTCAGAAGTTCCCTCCAGTGTTACTGTGAGAAGTTATAAAGGGGCTGATTTAGTCTGACATGTGTGATCTAGTTCTGTCTCTCTCAGGGAAGGTATTTTTCCCCCTTCTCCTCACACCCACCCCTCAGATGTCAAGTACTAAATTGGGTGTTTGCTTCAGATTCCAGTCAGAGAAGGAAACAGGGGATCGGAATTATGCCATCGGCTATTATCTAAAGGAAAAGAAGGTAACTGGGAGAGGCCAGCAGAGAAAGTCCCTGGGAATTCTGTGGCTGGTGGAAGGGCAATCGGGGTTGGGGACTTTGGCTGAGATCCTGGCAGTGTGACAGGGATTGCCGATGGCCTGAAGAGAAATGCTCTTCCCTCTTCTTCCTTACAGTGCTTTCCTAAGGGGGTGGACATGATGGCTGCCCTCGATCTCTACTTCCAGGTAAGTCAACACTGCCGTTCAGCACAGGGCCCAAGGAACAGGACAGACTGCCCTCCCTGCTCTGACCCACAAGAGAAATGCTCCTCTCCAGTGGGATTTGCTGACAGATCAGGATGCCAAGAACATTGCTCTACACCCAAGAGCAGTGTTGAGGTCCACACCACACCCTCACCTCTGCCTTGTCTCCACAGCTGTGCTCTGTGGAGGTGACCTGTGAATCAGGCAGTGTCATGGCAGCCACCCTGGCCAATGGCGGGATCTGCCCCATCACAGGCGAGAGTGTGCTGAGCGCTGAAGCAGTGCGCAACACCCTCAGCCTCATGCACTCCTGCGGCATGTACGACTTCTCGGGCCAGTTTGCCTTCCATGTGAGTGCCTCTGGCCCTGCCATTCATCTGCCATGAGCCTGGAGCCAAGAAGAGAGCACCCTGAGTCTCGGAAGGTGGAGAGGTGGAAGCTTGTTCCTGCCTCTCATTCACTAACTTCCAGCCAGGCGATCAGGCCAAGCATCCTTAGGGAGTTTGTCAAACACACCATGTCCCTCAGATACATAAACGCATGATGTTGCAGCTTCTGACCGCCCTTCTGCCGCCCATCACGTGGCTGGCGCTTCTCCTCCAGGTCTCAGTTCAGAGGGCACTTCCAAAGAGGTTCTTCTGACCACCCTGCCTCCGGTGGGCCCCTCCCACTTCTATCACAGCACCCCACTTCTTTTCTTCTGTGTTATCATAAGCTGTGATGATTTTTGTCTATTTATACGTTTACTTGTTTATTGTCTACCTCCTACCACCAGAATGTAGGTGAAAGGACTTTGTCCTAGTTCTAGCACAGCATCAAGCACAGAGCAGATACTCAATAAGTATTTCCTTACTGAAGCCATGAATTTAAGGGGGTGTCGGGGGAGGAGAGGAGTAAGAAGAGAAGCTAACTAACAAGCCAAAAGGTTGGGATGGGTGAGGCTTTGCCCATGCAGTCACCTGGGATGGATTAACTGGTTAACCCAGACTTGGGACACCTCTAGCGCATCTTTATCCCCAAGGTGGGCCTGCCAGCCAAGTCAGCTGTGTCAGGAGCCATCCTCCTGGTGGTACCCAATGTCATGGGAATGATGTGTCTGTCACCTCCACTGGACAAGCTGGGGAATAGCTATAGGGGCGTCAGCTTCTGCCAGGTGAGTTACTTTGCATATAGTATTTAATATTCTTAAATGAGTAAATAAAGTAATTTTGAGCTCCTACTAAGCACAAGGAATAAGTAAACAATCTGTTTGGCTTACAATTCTAGAAGTTGGTGTCTCTCTTCAATTTCCACAATTATGACAACCTGAGACACTGTGCTCGGAAGTTAGACCCACGACGTGAAGGGGGAGAAGTTCGGGTAAGGAAAACCCCAGGTAGCTCATAAGAATATTTCAGAATAGAACATTCCATAACACTTCAGCAATACCTTTGGCTAAGCATCCATGAAGAGGGTCACAGAGCAGAGCTGGGCATGGGTGGGTTCAAAGTCACAGTTAATCTCAGGTGGGTATGATTTGTTTTCCAGAACAAGACTGTGGTGAACCTGTTATTTGCTGCCTATATTGGAGATGTCTCAGCTCTTCGAAGGTACTTCTACTGTGACCAAATAAACACAATGAAGGACTCCTGGTCAGAGATCTCATTAGGAATCAACATAGCAAGACAGTTAAGTGCTTCAGCTTCAGAGTCAGAGAGAATGGATTTAAATGAGATTTTTTTAAAAAGTACAGTGCCTGCCATGTGATAAGAACTTAATTAATGGTAGCCACTGTTACGATTAAACTGGGTCTTAAGAACAGAGCTCTAGGGGGCCAGCCCGGTGGCAAAGCGGTTAAGTGCACACGTTTCACTTCAGCAACCCGGGGTTCGCCAGTTCGGATCCCAGGTGTGGACATGGCACCGCTTGGCAAGCCATGCTGTGGTAGGCGTCCCACATAGAAAGTGGAGGAAAGATGGGCACGGATGTTAGCTCAGGGCTGATCTTCCTCAAAAAAAAAAAGAACAGAGTTCTAGGAGGTAGGTAAGGACCCTGCCTCAAGTAGATCACCAACATCAACAAATATGTACTGAGTAGGCAGAGATGTTTCTGGAACTGTCACACTCCCATCTCTCTGACATGGGGAAAATAGTCTTATCTGGGTAGAGAACAGAGACTGTGCAGGGTCTACAGATCTTGGCATAGCTCTGTTTTATTTTTTCTGGAACCCTTCCAGTCTGACCCTTCAGAAAGGACACTAGTGATTCTAGGCTGATGTGGGTAACTCCAGCTGCTTCCACTGCCCTCAGGTTTGCCTTATCAGCCATGGACATGGAACAGAAAGACTATGACTCCCGCACAGCCCTGCATGTTGCTGCAGCTGAAGGTATCTGAAGGTTAAGTAAGAGGGGAAGCAGAGCGTAAAGCCCTTTCTTTTCTACCCAGAGTATATGCCTTGAAGATTACAGGGGCAGCAACTAGTTTTGTCCAGATGCACTTCAGTTTGCAGGCCATTATTGGGTGCTGCAGGGAGCAAAATGGGAAGAGGCCTTTTCCCTTCCCCTCTTGGTTCAGACTCCAGCTGCCAAGGGTCTGTGCTAATGTTAACACCAAAAGGTTCGGTATCTGTACCTCTCATTTTCCTTCTGCCCATATTCCTAGGACACACTGAAGTTGTTAAATTCCTGATTGAGGCTTGCAAAGTGAATCCTTTTGTCAAGGACAGGTGAGTAGGATTGAGCTGAAAGGGGGAATGGGAGGTGGGCAGCAGCTTCTCCACCGCTCCCTCCAGCTACCACAGTTATGTATACTACCAGTGCACTCTCGATGTCCTCATGCCTGATCATGGTCTTTGTTCCTCTCAGGTGGGGCAACATTCCCCTGGATGATGCTGTGCAGTTCAACCACCTGGAGGTGGTGAAACTGCTTCAAGATTACCAGGACTCCTACACACCATCTGAGACTCAGGCTGAAGCAGTAGCTGAGGCGCTGTCCAAAGAGAACTTAGAGAGCATGGTGTGAGCATGAGGCACACACGGTCCCTGCTCAAGAAAAAGCATGAGCTGGCCACACACTTAACACATAACCACCAAACATGCTACAGAGAGCCGCACTGCTTCAGTGGGGACCAAGACTTAGGCCAATGCTTTCTGTGAGTCACAACACCCCATTCCCTTGGCAGACAGAGTAGAGAGAAGTGCCTCGGTGGACACCGGCAGTAGGGTTAGCCATGGGGGCTGTGGGCTTCTGCAAGATACAACATAATGGCTTGCCCCACTCAAAACCGTCCCAGGTCTTCACCCAGGTCCCCTCTTCCTCTTCCTGGAGAAACTATCATGAGAGAGAGACACTGGTGAAGGGGCTCTAGCCACCATGCACATGTATATATCCACAGAGGAAGGCAGGGAGCTACACACCTGGTTTTAGTAGTCTGGAGAGTTCTGCCCCCCTTGGCCAAGAAGTGCTGCTGCTACTGCTAACAGCAATTTTATAGACAGAGAAGGTATTTTGTGCTCAAATAAACTTTAATTACACAAATTATTTTTGCTAAACCCAATCCTTCTCTTTTTCCTGTAGGGGCACCCAGCTGCATCACCATCATAAAGGTAGAATAAGATAGAACCACAGTGTCAGATAGAGCCCAAACAATATATATTTCACATACATACTCACCCCACCAGGTTTCCCTCAACCCCAAATACTGCTTTAGGTTAAGTGTATTCTGCTGCCAAGCAGGGGTGAAGGCTGGGGTCTGAGCAGGCCCAAAAATGGATTGTGCAAGACCTCAGGCCTCCCTCCTCCCTCTGGAAGTTCCAATTGTAGCAGAATGAAGATAGAACTTCTTAAGAATAAAGTTTCTAACACTAATCCCCTCAATATGCCCCAAGTGTCTCTTCCCCTTTGGTCATGGTTGTAACTGGCCCAATGATTATGGATCGACTGTGTCAGAGGTGTGCAGATTAAGGCGGATGGACTCAGGGAGGGGATAGCTACAGCTGTGTGGAGCTGAGAGTCTGTGGCATTGAGGTACTGGGGAAGGAGGGCTCTGTCCTCAGTCTGACACTGTCAGTAAAGCACTTCCTGAGGGAGCCAGAGCCCAGACTCTATGTGCTGTAGAGAAAGGGCCAAGCGTTGACTGCACCACTCCTCCAGCCAGAGGTAGAAAGCATTTACTCTGGAGAGATTCAGTAGAGCCCCAACAAACAGAAGTTACATGTAGGCAAAGAGAGGGAGAGGTATCACAGTGATGAATAAATGCGAACAAAGCTAAAAGCCAAGACCCAACGACTGAACACAGTCTGAGAAAGGCCTGGGCACAGGGAGGCAATCAGGGAAAGTGCATTCCTGGTAGCCACGGAAATGGGCGGTAGTTTGGGGGAGGGGAGAGGGTGGCTGCATGTCTAGCTTTCGCAGGGGAGGAGAGAGGAAGATGACTAAGAATTGCACAGAGGACCAGACACTGAATAGTGGGAGCTAGAGGCTGCTTGGGGCAGAATTAAAAGGATTCAGACACTTTCAGCAGGAGGCTGGCCAAGAGCATGATTAGGGACTCCATTGATGGATATAACTAGAGGCCCTCAGGCACTTGAAGCCCTGAGTGGGTCAGCAGCTCTCCATCCCACAGGGCAAAGGCAGGCACCACTGGACCCCGGAAATCTGTCTGTAGCGTGTGGACCACAGCGACCCGGCTCACATCCACCAGGCTCAACTTCTGGGCCTCATACTCCAACAGCAGCCCCACCTTCTCTGGCTGCCCGATGCCCTCAACAGGGGCTTTCTCGTTGGCCAACATGGTATGCCACTTGCGTTGGGCATAGGTGAACACCCAGGAGCGATCGTCAACACCAATACAGCTGTCCCGGGACATGTCCACATCTGCCACTCCTATCCGGAACTGCTGGGAGCGTTTCACTGTCACCTCCCAGTAGTGCCTGCCACTGGTGACCGCTGTGTCTGCCAGCACCACTGCCCACTCCCGGAAGCGCTCCACATTCAGGGCCACTTTGGTGGGCTCCAATCCCACCAAGCCATACTTGACACCTGTGTCACCTTTGAAGAGTGCCAGGCTGCTGTGAGCGGTTTTTTCTTCCAGTTTGAAACTGATGCCTGCGGGCAGAGCAAAGAGACAGGATGATGACAGGGGCTAGAACCCTAGAACCAGGGATATACACGTATTCCGATCTAAAGCTGGCAGTAATGAGATCAGAGGAAACAGGGAAGAGTCAGCATGTCTAGGGGGCAAGAGAGTGGGGGCGCTTTAGGATGCGCAGTCTAAAGAGCCGAAAAGTTCGACTGGGGAAGCCCTGGGATTTAAAGAAGCCGGACAGTGTCCCAAGTTTGGAATCCCAAGACGAAGGCCGATGGGGGAAGGGAAGCGACCCGAGTAGACTCCGTGAATAACGGACCGAAACCTTTTTGGAGGTAAAAGAGAGGAAAGAAGATATTCTACCTCTGCGGGCTTCCGCGGCGGCGACCCCCAATCGTTTGGCTCCCCAGCGGCACAGGCACAGCGACCGTACGAAGGGCAGGGCCATCTTGCGCCACGGATGAGCGGGCCACGCCCCACGCCTGAGACCCCCGCCGCCGGCCCGCCCTCGGCCTTCCCACGTGGTGCGCGATAGGAGGCGCGCAGTGTGATGACGTACAGAGCGCTACCAGCAGGGAGCCGCCATCTTAGTGGGGTCTGTTCTGGTTCCGCTTGCTGGTTGCGCCTTTATTCAATTTTTCTGCACAGGGGGCTGCTGCTCACTTTTTAACTAATTGGGACCTTTAGAGAGATGATGTAGCAAGATGGTAAAAGTATAAATTTTAGAATTAAACAATAATTGGATTCGAACCCTACTCTGCTGTGTGACTTTGGGCCAATCAATTGACTTCCTTGAGCCTTAGTGTTCTCATTTGTAAAACGGAAAAATAGCCATCAGACCTTAGTAAAAATTAAATGAGAAAATATCCTAGAATACAACTTGACAAATAGCAACCACTGGGTTAAGTCACAGTTGTTTTAATAAATACTAAATAACATAAATACCGTAAATGTTGGTTTTGTGTTTTCAGGCTGGGAGTGGAGGGTTTAACCCAATATTTGATTTTCCCAGTTTAAGCAAAAGTATCACTGTTTTGGTTCAGAGTGGAATAGGTACAAGGTAGGAGATTGTGGAGGGCCTACACTTAACATTTTGATCTGCTTGAGGCGCCATATCCCTGCTTTTTAGATGTTTCAATCTGTCCACTTCTCAAGGCTCTGCCCGCCAGCCCAATATCAATATCCTATCTCCGTCTTCCTATCCCTCAAAAAAAAACTATTTTAGGTCTTTAAGAGGCAAAAATTGTCCCCCTATCTTAGGGTTCCAACGACACTTCCTGTGGAGATGGTCCTAGTTCAGGCCACTGTCATCCTTGGCCTCAACTGGGGCTTTCTCCTTTTAATGTGGTAATGTGGTAGCTTCTAAGCTAGTCTCCCATTCTATCTGTCTCCTTTAATCCAGTGTCCACAATACAGGGAGAGTGGTATTCCTAAATCACAAATCTGATCATGCCACTCCCCTACTTAAATCTTTCAATGTGCCTGCATCACATTCCCTTCCATGGTCATAAGGCTTTACGTGATATGACTGCTGTGTACCTTCTTGTTCTTTCTCACAAAACACAGCCCCTCTTTCAAAGGTCTACTGTCTAGTGGGGAGATAGATGAGAATATTGGCAGCTGCAATATGAGGCACTAAGTGTCATGATTGAAGTGGTTTGCAGAGAGCTCAGGAAGCAAAGGAGAGGCCTCTGATTTAGTAGTAGTTGAGGGAGTGTTGGAGGGAGACCTCCAGAAGCCATAGCTATGGCTTGAAAAGCAACAGTGGTTAAGCAGGTGAGGGAACCCCAGCCTGCTCAAGATCTCAGCTGTCTTCTCCCCTAATATACGTATTTCTCTTGAGTATCTCATCTACGCTGGTGGCTGGTGGAATACACTCTCACCTCTTGGAGAAGGTCTCTCACAATCTACCCCGTATGTTTTTCCTGAGTTCCAGATCTGTTTATCCAGCAGCCTATTGGACATTTCTACCTGGATGTCCCCCTGTCACCTCAGACTTAAGATGTATAAAGCTAACTTTGTCTTCCTGCACAAACTTCCTCCTCCTCCTCAATTCCCTGCCTCTGTGAACTACAACCCATAACCAGCCAGTTGCCCAGGCCAGAAGCCTGGAAGTCCTTGACTTCCTCGTCTCCTTCATCTCACATAACTGATTGTCATTGAATCCCTATCACATTATTTCTCCCCTGGACTACTGCAGTCGCCTTCTAACTGGTCTCCCATTCTCCTAAGTGCTGCCAAGAGAACATTTAAGGAGGCAGCTACCGATCTCACCTATTACATTGTGAATTCTTGAGAATTGGGATTAAGTCCTTTGTTCTCAGTGCCTCAGGGCCTCAGTATTCCCCTTAGTACAGATTAATTGTGCATTGTTTTTAAATGAATAAATGAAAGTATAAAGGGAGAGAGTTTTGTGTCCACGTTCTTGGAGTGCAGTGGCTCATTCTCTCCACCAGGGGACAGCCTGGCCCAGCCTTTTCATACCGCTTAATATGTGAGAAGAGTGGTTTCTATTCCTTTTAAGTCTAGGAGCCAAGGTGTGGAGGAGAGATTTCCTTCAGCCAAGTCCTGCTCTGTCAGTACTTTGTATTTTGTTAGTAATGAGAGGAAAGTTCCAGGACTGTGTTTCTGTAGGATTTCTCCTTTGCTTCCATGCTGATCGTGAGAGCTGAAGCAGTCATGGTACATTCCTCACACTGTCCCTTAGACACACCTGTTTGTTCCCTGCTTGGGGAGTAGTTTCTTACTTGTCATCTCTTGCATTACTTCACTTTTACAGACTGACTATCCGTCTGGTAAACTCACCTTCATCATTCAGATGATTTACCCTGCCCTGTCACTAATGAACAAGTAGTTAATTCTTAATATTTCCATGCACAATATTAGGAAGTAATAGAATTTACTTGACAGACAATAGGAGAACAGACATTCAAGGTATAGAGAACAGCTTAGGCTAAAGCACTGGTTTATGAAATGGAGTGGGTTGTTTGAGGAACCACAAGAGGCATAATATTGCCAAAGTCCACACTGGGGAGATGAGGAGAGCAGTTGAAAGAGTAAGTTGAGGCTGGATTATGAAGAGTCGTGTATGATAAAAACGTCTTTCAGGCATTCCGGGGCTGTTGAAGGGAACACAAGGAAATGAAAAATTTCAGGGACTTTTATAAAGATAAAGCTGGTAGCAACAAGGAGAATAAATTGGAGGGGAAGAGACTAGAAACAGGATCAAACAAGGTCCGAGGCCACTAGAGTTCTCGGGTGAGACACCGTGTGGGCTCAGCTATCTAAGAGGTAGAATTGATGGAGCGTTGGTGACTGGTGAGATGGGAGTGAGAGGATGGGGAAGGGAAAGCTGATTCATAGGTCTCTGACTTAGTGAGGGGATACAGAAGGAAAGACATGTTTGGATGGGGGGAAGATAATTGGTTCCGTTTTGGACAGGCTAAATTTGAGGTGTCTATGAGACACCCAGGTGAAAATGTTCTGCAGATCTATGGATATAATTTCAAGGGAGAGGTGGACATAGATGAAGTCATCCAAGGAGAAGTGTTAACTAGAGTAAGTAGGGAAGGTGCAATCCTACGGAATACCAGCCCCTGAGATAAAACACATAAAGGGCTTAGAACAGGACCTGGCCCATAGTGAGCATTGGTCTGCCTGCCTTGGGGTTGTATCTGACTCCGTAGGAAAGAAAGGGGAGAAGGAGGCAAGAATAGTCTAGAATTGATGGGCCAGTCTATTTTCACTCTATTTCTTGGATTACCCCATTTCTAACATGGGGGGCCCTGGCCTGATCCAAGTGCTAATTGGAGCCCTCAACTATGGATGGGAGAGGAATGATGCACTCAGAGCTTGGTGATTGTTCTGGACTTTGCCAGGAGTCAGCAGTCAGCAAAGCATAACCAGAGAAAGAGAGAGAAGGGGGGCCCTCAGGAGCTAGCCAAAGGGGCTGCTAGGCTGGCTTGTGCTATACTGGGGCCTTTGTCTTACTGAAACTGTCCACACAATGGGGCTGGTTACATGCTGACCTGGCATTCTGAGTATGGAGCTGGGATAGAGATTCCACATGGTGGAAGCAGAGATGGATGGTCACTCAGCCCCTCAGGACCATATCTCTATTCAACCATGTCTCTATTCATTGTAATTGCTAGAGAGGATGTTCAATACTTGATAATTGTAAATTATGTTTATATCTAATTAATTCATGAATCATTTCTATGTTGATTAAAGGCAGCTAACTTAACATCTGTATATTGCTTGGGCATATCTGATTTGATCCTCTTACAATCCTGTAAGATCAGCAAGGTAGATATTTTTATGGAACTCAAACTTGGGTTATTCTTTAGGTCCTGATGATATGGGCTGGCTAGCGAGAAGCTTCAGAGAGGTGGTGAGTTGGTCCTGGATGACCTTAGAGGTGGCTCTCACAGGGGACCCACTGGGGAGAAATGAAAACAGCTCTGTCTGAAGATTCCCTGAGCTTTATCAACTCGCTTACTCTCTAGTTGTATGGATTCTGCTTCTTATGGCACTTCTCTGTAAACATAGGATGACTAGCCTCAGGAATATCAAAAGGTTGAGAGGTTGATGGTTAGCAATCAAGACATAATCAAGTGCAGAGAGAGATGAGACTCCAGGATGATTACTACTACAAGCCATTAAAACAAAACAACTTTGTAACTACCCCAAGTTTGTTATTTTACAAATCCTTTTTCTCCACTTCCATAGTTCCTAGTGGAAAAAACTTCAGAAGTGTTTGTATGCTTGCTTAAGGCCAGAAGAGAGAAAGGTGAGGAATCTAGAGCTAAACATTTTTTGCAACCCCTGAAAAGAATGCCAAATACGAGAATGGAGTAGAATGATAGCAAAAAAAATGAACAAGCTAACGAGGTAAGAAGACAAAGGCGAATCGGGTGTGTCCCGGGTGATCCCAGGAGTGTCGACCCCAGGAATGCCCTGCACTCCCAGCAGTTCCTCAAAGGCACTTTCCTGTACAGATCCCAATGACCCAGGTGCGAGTTCAGCACTGGGACCTTCTCAGTGGTTTACTCTGTTTCTGGTGAGGGATGAGGATGTCCTTACCTTGCCCTGCCTGAAATTCTTCTCCTTGTCTTCCCGATTCCCACTTTAGCTTTCCTCTTTACCTCTCCAGCTCCTAAAACCCAGGTTAATAAAGATGATTAGGGAGTGGAAGGATGAGTCTCTGTCTTCACTTTGAGCCTCTCTGGTTGACGGAAGCCATCATAGCTCTTGCCCCTCACTCAGTCTGGCGTGGAAGGGCTAAAGAGGAAGAAAGAGCTTAGTAGGAGAGAGAAGGGCCAGGGCTGGGGAGAGTGGACGCCTGGGTGTGAGGATGGTGTCACTACGATGTCTAAGGCTCCCTCAGGGAGGGCTCTGACTGGGGATTAGGGACCAGGGCTGGGATGAGGCTCCTCTCTATTGGCTGAAGATCACAGGAGTGGAGCTGTCCTCTCTCTAGCTGCGTCTTCCTCCAGGGAAGGTACCTGAAACACTTGCTCT